CGATTACGTCGGTGTTCTCGAGTTAAAGGGAGGACCCAGTGTGGCTGGTATGAAAACAAGCCAAAACTTCTCATTCGTCGGTAAACACTTCGCATTCCAATAGGTCTTCCGTGTTCTGCAAACCATTCATTTGCAATGGACCTGGTAGTGGAGAAACGGTCCCTTAAGGCCAATAATCTTAGGCGGCGATCTTCACGGTCTGTTGTTCTACGGCGGCGTCCAGTGTCCCTTGCTCTTTGCGTACGGCCTTCTCGAAGCCATGCCTGACAACACCTAACCACAGTGTCTACACGTCTCCGTACTCTAGGCATCGTAACCGATCGTAAAGGATGTCAAGAACCAAAATCCGCCAACGTTGATTCTTTACTGCGGCTAAAATATTCATTTTTAGAGCGTTAGTGAATTAAAAAAAAAGCAGAATAAAAACCGGAATGTCCAACAGATAAGGCTGAAAATTTTTTGACTTGTTATTTACAGTAAGGTAAATACATTCACCAACTTTTATTAAAATAAAACCATTTAAACTGGGTGTATACTTCAGATATATTCAAAACTGTCAATAGTTGTAATATTTAAGGGTACGCTGATGACACTCAATTATTTTTATCTTTTGATCCAAAGTTTGCTGATATAGCATCTGCTTACAGAAATACACAAGTACTTTTTAACGCAGAGTTTAAAACTAAATTCATTGTATTTTCTCCACCTAATCAGGAAATTTTTACGCAATCAATGGAACTGAAAATTGACGGAAGGAGTATTGCTCTCTCCAGAAGTGTAAAGAGCTTAGGTATAATTTTTGACTGTAAGCTCAGGCTTGATGAGTATGTTTCACTTTTAGTCAAAAAGACGTATCTTGTACTTAGGCTCCTCTATCGAAATGGCGAAAAATGCTTTGTGAGTACTTTGTATTTCCTATTCTGAATCATGCTGTCACGCTTTATTACCCATTTCTTACGCAAGTTTTAAAGTACAGGTTGCAAAAAGTTTAGAATCGTTGTTTAAAATTTGTTTTTAAGCTCAGGAAATATGATCGAGTTTCAAGCAAAATTAATGAATTGAGTTGGTTGAAAATAGAAAAGATCTATAGATACCATACATGTGTTTTAGTTCACCGGGTATTACTATCCTCCTTTCCTCCTTATTTAAGAAGAAAATTAGTTTTTAGGCGTGATTTGCATGATTTGAATATCAGGTATATTAATAAACTGTCTCATCCGAAATGTCGCTTAACAGCATTTATGAAGTCTCTTACATACAATGCGGTCACTATTTATAATGATATTGATGATGCTTTCAAAACATATTCAGTTCAGAAGTTTAAAGTTTGCGTCAAATCCTTACTTGTAAATTCTAAAACGGCTAGTTCGTATTAGATATAGTAATGTACTGATTTTGAATTGTTTGTTCTATAATTATTAATTATAAAGTTGGTAGTGTTTCTGCTAATCATCCATTCTTAATAATACTTTACTTTTATGTTACATCCATATTGTTCTATTTGCATATTTATGTTCCTCATATTATTTGTTGTCTTAAGTTAGGGTTAAGTAGAGTACTTAGTTGTCGCTAGACTTCGCCCTATGTTCAACCGTTTATGACGATACTTTAATAAAGGCATAATAATAATAATAATAATATATATGGAGAAAAATGGGAGACTTGGGCCTCTAGGCTTCTCCTCGCGCATTGATCTGTTCTTCAGTGTTAGTTACCGTTATGTGTGGTCAAATGAATCCTAGCAACATGCAAGAGGGAAAATTTGGCAACGTTTATCGTGTTGAATTCACCACCGTCATTATTGACAGTGTCGTCTGTCATGACCGTTAACAGTGTCATCAGCCATTTCGTTAAATGTCGATGAGAATCATAGTTTATTTTTCTGATAATTTCAAAAAGCAAAAAAAAATTAAAAAACAAAATGTATTGTTAAGATGAGATTAAATTCATGTAAAATACGAGTATTAGTATATATTGCAGTTTTCTTATTTTTCGACGTTTTCCCAACAATATATTCGCCATAACCAAGCCTTGGAAGGTGGAAAGGATCTGAAGCCAGGGTTCAAAGTGTTGCCCCCATTACAAACACTAACACTTTGAGATAAAAACAGGTCATTCGGTAGGTCGCAGGTACTGCTACGTACAGTTTTAATGTTGTATCTGTGTTCTTTCCATAGGGTCTGATTATAACATTCTTTCTTAAGTGTAATGTATGCTTGCCCAATTTTTTTTTGGAAAAAGTCATCAGTAACTTTTTTTGTTTTGAGTTGGTAGCAGAACGTTTGTTTTGTTAAACATGGTTTTATTGTTATCTAAGTACGTACCAGTAACTTTGTTGACTTAATTTTACCAATTATTTTTTGTTTAATTAAGGACTGTAACTAGTATGGATCAAATATTATAAGAAAGTTAAGACTTGTTAAGACAATTTGGAAATTGCAACGTGTTATTAAAAATTACAATTTTTCACGAAATACTCGAGAAACTCAAAAAATGCTGATAAGGAATTCTCGTGCCCCGAGAAATAAAAAAGGTCTATAAACCAGAAACGCTAGTGTCGGTCGTCCTATGCGGATCAGTTTAACATAAACAGTCCGATATGTGCGATGCTAACCAGTGGACGTGCACCTTTAAATACATTACAATTAGTAAAACATGCTTTACTACTAGACAATAGTCAGAGTGTCGTGCGGAGGAGTTCCGAAATGAAAAACATGTAGGTTTTACTGTGATATAAAAGGAGCCTACTGTATTTCGGTTCTAATTTTAACGGTATAATGCCTCTAAAAACAGTATATCTGTTTCTGTACATGGCTATCTATAAAGACTCCGAAGAAAGATGTACATCACGCGACAATGTTTATACAGATGTCTATGGTGGGATTATAAATGCTTGTTTGGACTAAGAAGGCATTATAAATAGATAGTAGGTTGATTTATCCCTTTATGGATTCATAAAAAGTCGGCAGTTGAAATTAGTAGGCTGATACGTATACTAATAGCAAATTGATGCAATCGCAGAGTAGGATATTAAATTTTCTATGATAACTGAAAGCTTTATTTTTACATATTCAAGTGCAGGAAATTTTATTTGAACTCAAGGATTTTGAAGAAAATTAACTATCATACATCAAATTTTCCAACAAGAAGGCGTGGTCGGCCGGTAACCTGGTACAAAGTTGAAACACTTCTTTTAAGCAAATGTTTTTTTGCCCCTGACAAAGTTTCTTAAGTCTTTTTTTCTTTTTGAACAAAAAAGATCTTCACTGTTTTTTCTCTAAAGTTGCCCGAGTCACTAGCGTTCCGAAAAACTCTATAGAAAAATGGGCATTTCTATTGTTGAAAGGCGCTAAAGTTGACGGTTGGTATTGTGAAGGTAAGGGAAGATGAAAAACACTATATTCTCAGGAGTCAAAAAAAATATATTCAAATATCTTATTAGAAAATATCTTTCATCACAAACTTACCTCCCATATATGTATACAGGGTGTTTCAAATTCGACCGTGACTATTGGGATCTCAAAAACACGAGGTCATTCAAAGGGGGCTAAGTTGCGTATTTACGTAACTAGCAAAATTCCGCTTAGAAAATTTCGAAATTCCATTCCTTTTGATTTTTTCTTGGCTTAATTTGAACCGGGATTTCAGAATAAATTGCACATTAACATTGCCACTTTTTTCTCCTTTACAAAATCAATTTCAATATGGCGTTTCATCTCTTGTTCTCCAGCATCTACTTTATTTTTTCTTAAATACTCCATACTGGATTTGTACAGACAAATACGACTCTAATTCTGATTCCAAAAATGTATAATATGATATTGACAAACCTTAGTTATCAAAAAAAACAGATTTCCTAGACAAATAGTTACTTGTTTTGTAGATTTATTGCAAAATCATAATAAATGAGGACTGAACAATGTACAGAGAAGAGTCAGGCTTTGACTACAAAATAACGGATCACATTGTGAATATCTGCTATGATTTACCTCTGCTTATTTATGATTATTATTGCTATTACCATATTACAAGGTCGCGTAGCCAAATTTTCAATTCGAGTTATCTTTTTTCGACTTTCATATCCAACTTTGTTTTTTTCATATGGATGCTATATTGGAATTTTGTACATTTAAATGGAGTTTTCAGTCCTAGGTACAGTGATCTAATTCCATAGTTTACCATGAATTTGTTGTCAGAAATAAAGATTATGAGGAAATAGAAAGGGATGGTGATACCTGAACACAATATGAACATTTTATTGATAGTAATAACGATAATAATCATAAATCAGGTATATCATAGGAGATATTCACAGTGTTGCTCAATTTTTGTAGACAAAGCCTGACCCTTCTCTGTACATTGTTCAGATCTCAGTTGCGATAAATCTGGTATACGAAACAAATGACTATCTGATAAATAATTTCAAGGCCTACATATGAAATTCTGTTTTTTTAAACTAAAACTTGACAATGAGAAATTATCAAATATTATACATTTATGGAATCAGAATGAACAACTCTATTTATCTGTGCAAAAATCAAATGTTTCGTCTACAAGACAAAATAAAGTTGATGCTGGAGGACAAGAGATGAAGCGTCTATTGAAATTCTAATTATGTCTTTTTGTAAAAGATAAAAAGTGGTAAGTGTGTATGTTGAAATCACACAATGAATATTGTTAGGAAAACATGACAACCATTTTGGGAAAATTCTATTTTTTCCGTCTCTCTCCAGATGTACTTTGAATTTGACGAAACTTTCTGAGCGGCGCTTTGTGCATTACCTAAATACGCAACTTTACCCTATTTAACCGGTTACGCATCTCTTACCGTTTTCGAGATCCTACTGGTGAGGGTGGAATTTGAAACACCCAGTATAGCGTGAAGACTTGAATGGATAGTAAAATAAACCAATAAACCATGAATGTAAAAAAACTCAAAATAGCTGCAACCAACAACTGTATACCTTATCTACTAAGGCAATACTCAAAATAATACTAACTTTGCTCGTCTGACTTCCGGCGAAGTTGGTAAACTTCTAGACTTCCGGACTCCGGCGGTTTGACTGTTTCCCATTTTCCACGCTTATCATCAATTGAAGTGAAGTTGCAATGGTGTGTACCAAAATGTTGACTGTTGAATCATATCGACGCCACGGCTATTTGTAGATATGATACGGATAGTTCTTATCACATCACTTATTGGATTTGCATTTATAATGTTCTGCATTGTTTATCTATAGTTAGACACATTATAAGAATACTACTTTTATCGGATATTCATAATTAATCAGTGGGATGTCACACTACTGAACTACTGTCTCGCTCGTTCTCGGTTTTGCCATTCTCATACATAAATTCTCTCTTTACATTGATTGGAACATATTTTTATAACAAGCAAATGTTCATGTTTTACCGTTTATTGAAAGTTGCATGTAACAGTTTTAAAAATACTATGTTTCAAGCAAAATGTATATTTATTTATCGAACGTGATGAACAGATAATATGAGAGGATCAGCAAAAAAACGGCGTCAAGTAGGTTGACTCTGCACTTCCCACGCAATCTGTTTATAAAGGATTATGTTCAGCACAAACTCGGCCCTCTGAGAAAAAAGTCAGTCAAAAATTATTCCATACATTTACGTTCTTTCCCTGCTCCATCGGTAGTCCATTTGGCAACGTCACCTCTCCCCGACACCTAACCCGGCCAGACGTAGCCACAGAATAGAAAACACTATGCTGTGGCGCGACAGTAATTCGTGTAATATCAGAACAGCACTCCGCCGGGAGTAGAAGAAGTGGCCTGTAGGTGCGCCATCCGTAAACTGAGAATATCTTCAAGGGCTAATGTACGGAGAAATCTATGATGTGATAAATATGTCCAATAGGTACGTGCAATTACCAAGGTTGGGCTCGTATAAATATACTAATATCAAAAAATTGAGGTATGTCCTCCCCCGCTGCAGCTCCCACCTCCAAATTTCCCACCCCTAAAAATGTTTTCAAACATGATTAGGCACAACTGAAATGTCAACAAACGAATTTTGATCGATTTTTGTTTTTTGTTCCTTTTTGGCCTTTTTCTCCGAAGCCACTGTACGATTTTCAAGAACTACAAAGGGCTTGTTTGCGCTTGGAATATATAGGGACCGACATACAGGCAGACAAAAATTAGCGAAATCGTTTTTAGTGTGCATATATAACATCCAAAAAACATAATAATCATTTTCGAAAATTTTGGCGATCACAATACTTCCCGCCAGTAGGAGTGGGAAGTAAAAGACCAAACATAAAAGATGTATAGAATAAAAAGTGATTCTCTTAGTAACAAGAATGTCTGGATTAGTTTGAGCAGCAGTTTGGATGAAGAGTAAGACAGTCTCAAAGGATATCTAGATATCTGGAAAATCTTCAATAGAAGTGATAAAAAAACTATTACTTCCCATGTCTTATGGCCTATGCCAAGGACGAATCATCTTTGAAAATCGGTGGCGGAGCTAGTCGCAAAAAAATAAGAACGCTCGAATTTTGTTTTGTTTCATCGCAAAAGCTCCCAATCATTTTTAGAAAAATTCTTTCAGGGTTTAAAAATTGTGACTTGGGAGTTATAACGGGGTGGGGGAGGACGCAACACAATTTTTTTATTATTGTATTTATACGCTCCAGACCCCGGTTATTTTATTTGTCCTTAAAACTTGGAATGATACAGAAATGTTTTCGATGTGCTGCTGCTCCTTGGGTTCACCAGCGCGCGTGACGGCCTCTTTAAATCCCTTTCCACTACTGCCGCTATGCCGCGTCGTGCGGACCGATATCCGGGAAATGGACTAATTGTACGGGCCTGTTTGGCTGACTTGGTCCGTTTAACTTCTGTTATACATTTTCGAAACTAACATTTTTCTTAGATGGTCTAACTTGTGCCAAACATAATCCTTTTTTGGTTGTAGTAAGGATCGTCGCACCATGCCTTTGGTCAAAACTATGTTAAAAAAATGAATAAAATGAAATATCATAAAAGATCCAGGTTATTATTTCAAAGCACAGGCGTTGACACTCGTAAACTTTATGGACCCCAATGAATCGAGACTTAAAAGCTGCACGTGCAGCCATTCGACCAGCTGTAACATTTATCGATTTTTATCAGTTCATTACTAGTCTGCGAAACCATTTTCGAACATTTTAGTTCGGGGTTATAGAGTTTTTCTATGCAAAATAATTTTGGTAACATTTGGCTTACGAGTGACACTTTCCAATCTGTTACATGCAAACCCATTGTGAATCTCAGCTTTTGTGAACTGGGGCTGAGCAGCATTTCAGTATTTCAAGGCAGATTAAGTGCTTCAGCTACCAGATATAAGTTTTCCTGGCAGAATTTTTGAATTCCTTTGATTTGCTAAATTTTTGTATCAGTAAGAATTTGCAAATGAAAAGACTAATATTTCATCTGTAAACCTAAGAAATCCTGAATACCGAAATAATAATAAAATTAGGAGTACAGTGAGATTAGGTTCAGCCGACCGATATATACAACAATAAAACTTTTGATATTACTGAATTTGTAAAAATGTTAAAAACATATCGGCAGGGTTAATACGTAAAAAAAGTACATAATGTCAAAATACGGTTTATTTCGATGCATCATCAGTTTTGATGTTTTCATAAATTACTGTGAATAGATGGATACTAGTCAAAAACCGTCGATATGATTTATCCTATCATTATCATTGTGATACGATAATGAGCTGAGTACTAAGTACGCATTTTCATCAGTATCTATTTATCTTTAGCTTTATCTTAATAAAGTCATTCAAAGCTTTATAAGTGATAAACACATGAGGTGGTTAACTACAGATCTTTAAATAGTAATATATCGTCGGGTTACAGTAAAAACCGGATAATTAACGAAGTTTTTGATAATTGGCATTTGATAAATTATGTCGGAAAGTAGGGATTACAGACATGTGAAAATCTTATTCAAATACAAAATTAAAGTATAAGAAAACATAAACAAGTTTTGTCCGTTATAGGTATCTATGTGTGAAAATGTACTAGACTCAACGAGTAGTAAAATGGAGTTATCTTGTTCTTGCAGTTTTCACCCTGTTGGCAGCTTTGTCCACGGTCTTTCGAGTGGACTTTTGGATGAAGCATATTGGTACTACGTTCCCGATAAGGGTTGACATTTGCGACAGGAATATAACCTCATAAAATGAAAGTCAAAATTTGTCTGGTTATTTTACGAGTTGCGTGGCAATAGAGAGTTTTTAGCGCTCTTGTTTAGGTGCTTATTATGATCTTCCTTATTTAAATTTTGCGCAGACAGACAATCCTCCGTTATCCCTTATCAAAATAAGAAAGCTTCGTTAGTTACCGAGAAAAAACGGGGTGTCATTTCGTAAGGTTAATGTCTCCTTATTTAGCGTTGTTGCTGGAATTTGTAAAGCTATATCAGCTTAGTTAAACGAATTACAAGTTATAAAACATATTGGTTAAAACATAGTAGAAATATGAGTTTTCACAGATAAAAATAAATGCAAAAAATAGACAGTGTTCTGAATAAATTAAATTGTCATGATTTTTGTAGTATACGCAATGTGGCAAGTTAGTCTCTTATTGTAGTTCTGCTGTTTTTGTGGTCTTCTTCTTCTGTGGTTCTATGATCCTAAACCTATATATATATATATATATATATATATATATATATATATATATATATATATATATATATATATATATATATGGGATCACCTTCACGTTAAAATCGAAAAAAATAAGTAATCTGTCAAGAAAATGGAACGCTTAACGATTCGTTATTTTCGTTGCACTAAAGACTCTCTATTAACTACATGTATGATCGTTACATAAAAGGGTTAAGGTTTTGAAATTTTGTGGTCAGCTTTACGTTAGAATCGAAAAAAAGTAATCTGTCAAGACTGCCAGTAGTGAGTCAGAGTGGTCATAAAAAGTGTTTTTTCGTCGACTTTCTCTATTTACTGTTGCTGTCAAAAATAACGTAAAGGATGGTTTAACGATTTTTTATTTTTATGCTCAAAAAATTCTCTAATATCGTATTTTTTTATTTCTCTAATAGAGACCAGTCGCTGTTGATATGCCAGGAAAACCCCATCATCTGGTAACTCTTAGCGTTTCATTCGTCTCGAATCAGTGGTAAACAAATCCACGGATAAACAACAAACCCACAACAACCACCAGGCACACGATAAACGACCAAAAACCGGGTGCATCGCGAACGCGAGAAAAGCATGCGTGTTTACGCGCCCGTTGGCGTCGGGTCGGTGGCCGCGCATTCAACGTTTGTACGTTCTCGTACGCGTGTTCTGCACCGAACTGCAGGCCACGCGCCACTGCATCCTCGCGAGAGTAGACGGGTGGAACGCGGCATGCCATCCGCGCCACGGATTCACGGACGGACGCACGATAACACCCGAGGACCCTTTTCCCCTCAGGTTCAGGCGCTGCACGCTGGATTCGGCGAGCCGCATCTGGACCGACGTCGGGACGCGTCAGTAGTGATGCAGGGCTGAAGGGATATAGTATGGGGAAAGTGACTGAAGAGAATTTATGAGGGTTGATACTTATGCTCAGTATATTTCCTAAATATAGCTGGCCCTAGCATTGCTAACGTGGCCATTTATTTCTTTAGCCAAAACGGGACTCCGGTTTCTATATTAGACAAAAATACGCCTGGTTTGCGAAATAATTGTAAACTCTGGTTTTATTGGTGCAAGTTTAAAACATGGGCGCATAAAATGGGTACACCAATTTTTGTGGGAACACTTTTTATTCGATAACATAGAATGAGAAAAACGTGTTTTTTGGGATTTAATCGACAGTGTTGACAGGAATGGAAAAACTCTTCATATAACATAACATGAGACCTACAAAATGAGACCACACGTAAAAAGATCCGACTGATAGCAAAAACGTTATGGCCGAAAACCGAGACAAACTGCAGGTTTTGGCCCTTGTTGGTAAAGCAACGATAGTTTCTCGCAGATACTGGAAAATCACTAGTCTTAGAGAATCTATTATTGTTTATCCCAAAAACACCTGTTTTCCGGCCACTACTAGTTTGTCGAGTGGTTAGTTCAAACGGCTTTTTATAGCTGAATACACTAGTCCACCTTGCCGATATGAAACCATTCCGTAAGAAAAATGTTATTTTTGTGCAAAAAAGGATGGGTTACGTTGTTTCGTCTAAACAAATTCAAACATTTCGTATTTGTGAGTAATTCGCGACAAAATATGATAGAAATATGGGCTTTATTTTAAAATGTGTATAGTAACGCATTTTTTTCGAATATCGTAGCGCATTCGTTCAATTGCTCACAAATACGAAATGTTTGAATTTTTGAGAAGAAAAAACCTAAGTTCTGTTTTTCGCATAAAAATAACATTTATCTTTCGGAATGGTTGATGATTCATACAGCAAGGTAAACGCGTATATTTTGTTATTAAATGTTCTTTGAACGAACCCCGTATATTGCTCATTAAATTAGTAGTGATGGCCGGAAGACAGGTGTAATGGGTTAAACAATTAGAAATTCTTATTAGTCGGATCTTTTTACGTGTGGTCTCATTTTGTGGGTCTCATAAATACCTAAAAATAAGAAAAGTTTTTTCGTTCCTGTCAACCGTTTCGATTGAATAGCGAAAAACACGTTTTCTCATTCTTTGTTGTCGAATAAAAAGTTTTCCCACAAAAAATCGTGTACATATTTTATGCGTCCATGTTTTAAATACCCCCTTGAACAACTTGCATCAATAGAACTCGACTTTACAATTATTTAGGGGAAATTTGCTAAAATGATTAGACTATATCTCAATACCTGATATTCAAACCTGTAGAGCAGGGCGCGGGGGGGGGTGGGAAATTGTGCATGCCTAAATACCTCCGTACCGTGGTCTATTTATTCGCAAACCTGGTAAAACTTGAAAGTATCGGAGATGAATACCACGGCAGGCTATTAAACCTGAAGTTTGTGGTGTATCGTTTGACACTACTTTTTAACCCCAAAATTCGAGAGTTTCTATATTATCCGTTGTGGATATGGATCATAACAGAGTATGAGCTTTTACTTGACGTAATACAAATGTGTCATTATTTTTATTTTTATGTACACCGTGAATTGATCGAATCGGTATTTTTAGCTTTACTTCTTTATATTAATAGTATCCTGAAAGGTTTTAAAGAAGGTTCTCTCCAATTGGAATAAATTATGTTTGTGAACCTTGAAGTACTGCCAGATAAAATGTAGTGTTTTTACTCTACTGTTTACTTTTGTACGCAATTGAGAAGTATAACCTTGTATAATGACATATTATGGCAGATGATCGGAAACCAAAATCGGAAACGTTTGTTTAGCTTTTTTTGAATTTATCCGTCGAGAGGACTTAAAATACGCATCCAAGTGCCTTCCCAGAGGTAAAGTGATATCTGACTGGCTTCAACGACCAGGAAAACATGGTACCGGTCTGAACTAGAGTGTTAGATTTTGAATTTGTCCTTGAAGTGACTTCGAAATGACCTTCGAATTACTTTATAGTGACTAATTGACATGTGATTCAGACTTAACCTGCAATACACGCGGCTGGAATCAACTGCTCGGCTTTTTTGAAGATGTTCTTGATATGACCTTGTCGTGACCTTCTAATGCAGACACGGAGGCGACTACAGATTTGAAATCAGCGACCCAAAAAAACCCTGTTGGGTTGAAAATCGTATAAATGCCGTTTTTTTGCCTATTTTCCGGTATTCTAGACCACTGAGCGCGGGGGCCCCTGACTGACTGGCCTGCCTATTTTAGCGCGGTTTAGGAAAGTGAGACAATTATGCGGCCTCAGCTTTTTTTCGGGACGTCGCGACGGAGAACCAAAAAGCGGGATGGTCCCGCTCAAAACGTATGATTACGTTAAGCATTACCAACATCCTGGAGATATTGATGCAAACAGCGGCGCCATATATAAAGCTAGTTTTTAGTCTTAGGGCCCTCTTTCGGGACTTCACGGGTACCTCGCCAGCAAACGTAGCCAAACTAATCTATTGAAGGCAGCTCTTTGATGTAGCATCGCCAAAATTGTCGCCACCCTTAGTTAGATTCGTTTGGCTACGATTGCTGTCTAGTTTTTGTGTTGAATAATAAATCTAAATTATCAGTAAATTTTTAGATATGAGGAAATTAACACTCCGCAGGTGGATTAGGTCTGCTTTTTAAACGATCTAGGATTTCAGTTCACTCCTTTATTTTTATGAAGAAAATTAAATACTATGCAAGTTGTTGGCTCTCGAGTTCGAACCCGAGACTAACAACGTGTTGAACAGACATTATAGCAATCCGATCAACATCCTTGTAATATGGTACATGCCAAAATCGATGTGCCAAACATTAAATTTTATCTGAATTTTCTCTAAAAGCCCCCACAGCGATCTAACAAATACATACAGGGTGTCCCAGACGTCGACGTCAAGCCGAAACCGGGTGATAGGCAAAGTCATAACAGCTATCAGAAAAATATTTAAAAAAATTTTATGTATGTTTTTTGAAAATTATAGGTCTTTGAAAAAAATATAGAAATTTCACACCCTACGGCAGTCTGTCAACTCCTGTTACTACAATTATTAACTTTTTTTGAATTTTATTTTTACAATGTAATGATGAATAATGCATCTTCAAACTGGTGTCTCAACCTTACTGCCAACTTTTCTCGTTCAGGAAAAATTGCCACTTATTTCCCAACCAAGTATTCCAAAGTAAAACTTTGCTCAACTTTAACTAGCTGTACTGGAAAAAAATGTACTACGAGAGTTTGGCAAGTAACCTTAAAAGCTGGCGCATTTAATAAGGATTCCAAAATGGTATAACACTTAGAAGATTACTCGTTAACTTATGCACAATTTTTATTTGAAGAAAAACTGATGAAAATTTTTCAAAATTTCCTAATTAAACAGCGATTATGAAAACGCACAAGGACCCTTAAGGATAACTGTTTGCACAACAGTGGGCGTCAAAATGCTGCTGATGATAATTTACCTTTACAGCAAATGCTCAAACTGTTTTCCTTCAGCCGCAATACACGCTCGACATCTTCTTAAAAAAGATCGGGTTATTAAACAAGCGAATCCACGGTTATTAACAAACTCAGCTGCTTCCAATAGTCTTTGCCGTAGCTCAGCTGCATTTTGAATCGGCTTGAAATACACTTTGTCTTTTACATTTCCCCAGTAAAAAAAATCTAACGGATTCAAATCTGGTGACCGGGCTGGCCACGGTATTGTACCAGACCGTCCTATCCATCTGCCTGGAAAGTTTTGATCGAGATACTCTCCCACTGAGAGTGCATAGTGCGCTGGGCAGCCATCATGCTGAAACCACATGTCCCTGTAAATACTCAGTGGCACGTCCTCCAATAAATTTTCTAAATGATTTTGCAAAAAACCTAAATTAACCTCAGCAGTCAAAGTCTCTGGGAACTCAAACGGACCGATTATTTTACCATTTAAAATTCCTCTCCAATGGTTTATCTTGAAGCGATATTGAGATTATCTTCTCTCATCAAATGTGGGTTTGCTACGTGCCACTCGTGTAAGTTATGCAGGTTCATGTACCATCTTTCTTAAATGTGGTCTCATCTGACCATAAAATTTTTTCAAAGAACCGTGGATCTTCCCTGTGTCTTTCTAACATTGTGCGACAAAAAGCAACTCGGGGCTCATAATCCCGGGGCAGAAGAGCTTGAACACGCTGTACGTGGTATGGATGGAGCACGTTTTTTTGCAAGATTCTATGGGCTGTACTTTTGGGCACACTTGTTTTTAGTTCTATTGCACGCACTGAAGTACTCGGGTCTTCTTCGACAGCTCCTAGCACCACGTCTTCGTAAGGAAGGAAAGATCTTCCCTCACCGTGTGATTGGTTTGGTAGTTGGCCCTCTGAGAACAGTAAGCGGTGCACATTTGTGAACACTCGATGATCTGGATGACGAAATGCATTCGGGTACCTCTCACAGTAAAGTCTCGCTGCAGCACTAGCGTTGCATCTGCATTCCCCATAAATGAGGTGCATGTTAGCATATTCTTGTACGGTGTACACGGACATAGCGGCACTGCACAATCACACTATCAAAGATAGTCTAAGGAAAACAAATGTTGTTTTGAAGTGCAATTAAACAGTCCAAATCCAAAATTAGTAACAGTACGAAATCAACAAGCACGAACATGTAAAGATGCGCAGTAAACGAAGGAGTACTGATCGGTATCAAAGTGTGCAATAGCAAGTAAGTGATGTTCTTCATTCATACCACATACAGCGTGTTCAACCTCTCCTGCCCCGGGATTATGAGC